AAACACCAATTTCGATACGGCCGAAAAACCACCTCATCCTAGTGCAAAAACATTTTGTCGAAAAACTTTTTTTTTTCGAAATGAGCAAATTTATTTTCTAAATTCTAATTTGTGCATTTTCATGATGAATGGAAACACAGCTACTGAAATGTTTTGATATTTTATTTCCTGATACTGTATGGATTTTTAATTAGGACTTAAGAAGAAATGTGCAATGCAAATGCAGTTCTCACTGTTTAGTGTGCTTCTGATYGCATRAAAATAAACTGAAYTGAATCAGATTTTATGCACGCAGTGCTCTTAATGAGTGTTTTTAACTTTTGGAGAAAAAAACTGCAATACATTGCTTTGCTTACAGTATTGTAACATATTGTGATAAATCATATTATGACCCCTGTGTGATATGGACCATATCACCAGATTCTTGCCAATAAAACTACAGATCTATTTTTCATTCTCAGAATGTTGTTAACCCTTTGCAAACCAAAGGTAATTCTCACCCTCTGGATTGAGGAGAACTTCCACACCAGCCTTTAATCTCTTTGTAGACGAGTCTGGTCAAAAACTGAAACAAACAAACCATCATTAAACTGAACTGAATTAACACCAATGATCATTGTGATGCAGAGATTCTGACCAGGCAGGCTAAGACGTCAGCAGAGATGAGCATGTAGAAGACGTTGTTCCAGCCAGTTGGAGAAATCAAACCGGCTAACAGAGGTCCCAACGCCGCGCCTGAGAAGATCCATTCAAACATTTCAGTCTTTTTAAACATCCAAATGTTCTTACCCTCTGAACACCTTTCAGGTGTCTCTTTCAGGACTACATTTAATTTTAGCTACAAGTTTGACAAATCAAACCCCTCTTTTATGGGACATAAAACTAAAAAGCTCAGGAGTTAAATGTGAAAATCTCAGTTTGATCCTTTACTGATATTAAAATTAGTCAGCCTCCTTAAACCCAGATAACACAGAGATCTGTTAATGTTTAAGGAACGTACCTATAGATCCGGTCCCGTCGATGATGGCAGTCACTGTTGATAAAGCCCTGGAGTTTCCTCTCAGACTCTCGTGTGTTCCCTGCTCAAACAGAGACGTGAGTGAGAGGTTTCAGGATGAACAGACAGAATAACACAAAGGYTTCCCATGATGCTCCAGGTCCTACCAGGTCAGCAGATACAGCTGTTGTGATCAGAGCGTAGGGTCCATTCACCAGGCCTCCACARAGCAACAACATCCCTACAAACAAAACAAACTGTAACTAAAACGCTTCATTTTCAGTGCCTTTTTTAAAGAGCCTAAATGCTAATAATGCTATCTGTGAGCTGATCGGGGTTATTCTCCTCTGATTGATCTCTTCTCTGCGAGGGAATGTCAAAAGTGCATAAAGTTCAYTTTTTTATCTTAAGAAAGGCAACTTTATGGACTGAATTTTTACCATGAAGAAAGCAAGTGATCAATCAATCAATAAACCAATCACTGAGCAGCTTATCTTCTGGCTAACGTTTCCAGATGCTAAATTAAGCTAATCTGTGCCTTTTTCTAAAGCAATACACCATAATTTTATTTTCCAACTTTTCTGTTAATGTCGTGTTGTTTTTTAATTCGTTAAGAAAACTTTTTCAGTTATTTTACTCTTAAAAATGCATCTGTCTTCAACTACTGCAGATTTATTTCTGTTTGTAGCTCCTTTTAACTGTTTGAGTGTTAAAGATTTAACTTTAGGACRGAGTTCAAGTCAGAAATAAAACATTAAATCTGATAAAGCGGAAATTAAGCCTTGTGTTATAGAGCAGTGGTGCACAACGCTGCATGTGTTGCTCTTCAGCAAGTCTTCAGCTTCTACAGAAGCTGTTAATGACTCCTTCATTCAAACCAGSTGTRTCAAAGCTGAGAAACATCCAAGGRAGTCTGSAGAGGGAAGTCTGGGTCTCTCTGCTTAGGCTGCTGACCCCAAGACCTGACCCCAGATAAGAGGAMGGAAACARACSAATGGAAATAACACATTAAGAACTCTCACCAATTGTAATGCCAAGGCTCCTTTGTCCGATGTAGTTATAAAGAAAAAGCTGCAATAAGAACAAAATAATTAGTTTCTAAACTAACAAACATGCATCTTAAAAAACATATAAAATGTCTTAATATCAGCTAAAATGTGACATAAGAGCCACAGAAAACAATTAAATAAAACACAAAGAGAATAATTCCACTTCTCCAAACTGAAAATCCTATTAAACTACCGTATTTTTTCGTGTATAATATGACCTCATGTATAATACGATCTCATGTATAATATGATCTCATG